CAAATTGTGGTAATGAGAGGCTTTTTGTAGTAAATCAATGGAACTGCTCAAGTGCTGAATTAAGTTGCTTTTTGGATTTGACTTAACTCGACTCCAAATTCAGTGAGAGTATTTCCTAGGAGACCAGCATTTGGTTCCTGTGTGAAACAAGATTGATTTGTTTTTTTAAGTAACGTTTGCTATGTTAGCTTCATAGCATTAGCGTCAACGTTACCTATTTAGCTAACTATGTTAGTCTTAAAGGCGTTGACAGCCCCCCATAAGCCCTATCCCTTACCTTCACAGGGGTGTGTGCCTAAACCTAACTGTGCTTTAAGACCAAACGCAAATTTAATCCTTGCAACGCTTTCCTCGCTGGGGTTTTTATATAAGTGTTCACATTTAACGCGATAAAGTGAATAAACACAACCCGCAACTACAAGTTTGCTGTGGTTTAACTGCAAAAAAAGAATCAAACTTATGCCAAAATAACTACAATATGATGCTGATATGTTAAACATATGAATTCATGCCTGTCAGCAAGACAGCAGGACAACAACTTCTAAAATGTTTGTTTTCTGAATGGAGTTTGTATTGGTCAGGGCTATGCTATGCTAACTTGTTCACATTAAAGTACATCAATACCTGGAATAAAGTAACAGACACATATTTTCTAAACTCACCAGGTAGTTCAACTTCCTCGCTTTCTTTTCTCCAAGTAATGTCAAGTTTTGTCAGGTTTTTATATGTATGTAGTAAGTATGTAAGTAGTAGTCCAACAGAGCTCTGGGTTATCATCGACACTAACAACAACACTGGAACCGGATGTGCATGGAAGCTTGCTGCCGAGAAGCTCCAGTGAAGATAAATCAACATTGTAATCCTAAAAACTAAAGTAAAAATCTAATTTAATAAAAGCAGTTTACTCCGAGCTCCTCCTGCCGGTAAACAGCGTAGTTGTCAGAGCATAATCCAAACCGACGTTGGGTGTTTATTTGTCCAAAAGCTGCAACGCTTCTCCCGGCTCTGTCCTCGACTTCTCCCCGCAGTGTAGAAGCTCTCCGTTGGTCAACAGCGTTTTGCTACCCTGCTCTGCCTGGTACTCTTCAAACAACACTCTGAAGTCGTCGGTGACGTCCAGAGAATGTCAACGCTGATTGGCTGTCGCGACTCAGTGTCACACCACTTTCTTGTTCGAGTTGAAAATGTTCAACTCACGTGAAGGCCTTTGTGTCGCCGGCAGCACCCCCACCAGACCTCCCAACAGGAAATCACGATTCTCCGCATCTTTGCATTGACTCTGTAAACACACCGCCCCATCACTCGCTTCGCTTTTGGTCTGAAGGCACCATCAGCGATTGTATGTGTCTCGACTGGTGAACACAACAACTGAGCAGATCGGACACCTCCTCTCTGTCACTGCTGTCTCCATGTATTTATGTCATGTGACGTAGGTCATGTGATTTCCAAAACATAGGTACTGTAAGGAAACAGAGTTCGAAATTCCCATTTGGGAGGCATGGACAAACACCACCGGTAGGGGCGCTATTGTAGGATATGCTCATATGAGTCGTATTTGGAGATTGGTTAAATTGACCTATGTTGTCGTTTAGGTTGGAGGACTTATTAGAATGTAACTATACAGGAATGCGATTTATAGTTGTATTTCCCTTTTCCCTATCAATATCCATGTAAAACTCATGTGTACCTATTTTGTCCTAAAAAATATAATTCACTGAAGACAAATAAAAACAAACACATAATCAATTGACTGGTGTGTACGTCTTACAAACAATGGTCGAAAATCTTTGAAATAATGAATGAATTTTGGCTCCATTTAGCTAAGATTCAACCAGGTGAGCGGACTAATTCCTGACACATTGTGTTGCTCTGTTGGTAACCGAGCAACATATAAGCTTGTTTTTCTCTCAGTCATTGAGTCACGTCTCGGTGTCACACTCTGACAGAGGCTGGATGTGAGTAAACTCAGTGCCTCTTTGCAGAATTTGCTAACCACATGAGCAGACAGTGGTGTGCTGCAGGCAGGCTGACACTGATTAGTAGGAGCCAGACGGCAGCGCTACAGGACTGTCTCAGCGGTAGTCTGCAGAGGGCCAGGCTGTTAACTTTGTACCACTCATCTCATTTTCAAAATCCTAACTCTAGAGTGGCACATTTGCAAATCCAAAAGACTGCAAGAAGTATTTCTAAATAAACTAAGCACATTTAAATAATCCCCAGTCATCCTGACACATAATTTAAAGCCCATCATAGGATTTAAAAATGTCTGACTTTATGGGAGAATATGGAGCCCTCCTGGTGACACCGGTGGAAAATATAATAATTTGAGATCACAAAGTCCTATATTTTCCACCAATATCACCAGGGGGGCTCAGTACTAAACACTGACAGTGGTAGAATCAAAAAGGCACTGTGGTACACAGCAATGTACACCGCTACCTGACAATGGATGGCTAAAAACACCAACCTGCACCAGTGTTCTTCTCTGCTGTCCATCCCCTATGTTCAGTGTGCTCCAAACAGTCACAATTTAACCAAAATATGACTAAAAACACTAACACACACAACCTGGATGTGACTCCTCTTCTGCTCATAGCCCTGTGTTTTTTTTTATTAGCAAAATAAGCAGAAAAAAACCCTTGGTGATTAGAAAGTAAAGTGTTAAGACTATAGAAAGAAAGAAGAGACTGCCACCTACAGAAAGTCAGAATATATCACCCAATGGTGGAAGAAGTATTTTAACCCTTTGCTTAAGTAAAAGCAGAAATATCATTCTGTAAAAATACATACAATGTAATATTAGTAAAAGTATTATTAGAAATATTAACTTAACATAAAAAGCACTATGTAGGTTAAACTGCTCTGTCAGGTTATTTTGTTATATATTATACCACTGGATAATTATTACTGATGCATTACTATGTAAACAGTGTTTTAATGTTGTAGTGGGCCGAGGTGGTGCTGATTCTAGCTATTTTAAATACTATTTGGTGATTTAATTTACTGTATAACAAATGAATCATGTTTTAGATGCTCACAAAGTTACTAAAGCAAATATCACAGCATATGAACCCATGTGTCAAGAATGTTCATATATACAAAACCAGGGAAAAACAATCACAGTATGTTGTTTTGAAGTCATGTAATAAAGGTTTTGAAAACTTGAAGTGTGCTGGATCTCTTTTGTCAGCAACAAGTTGAGACAAACAATTATCCCAAGAGGTAATTTAGTGTGTAGAGTAAATATCACGCCTGCAGGATACCTTTCTCAAGTTTTTAAAAATATTAAATATATATAAAAAAACTGTGTCTGTTTGCTTTGTGTAATCGGTTAATGAAATGGATATTAGCATGTCTTGTTGATCTTTACTTATTTTGTGTGTTTAAGTCTGAGCTCATAACCAACATCTTAAATATTACAGTAATGGCTTAGCTAATACTTGCTGAGCTCATAATGTCATGGCAAAGACTCAGGGAGAAATTCTGCTCCCTCAGGTGCTTATTGACATTAAAAATGTCCTTTTTTCAGATATGTTCAAAGCCAGTACCTTACACTATTTAACTTGTGATTACAACAGTGGCAACAAGAGTGTTTATGTGAATATCTTTCCCTCCAAACCTGTACGAGGTCAGTGATGTAGACATAGCATCATGGGAGGAGAATGTACATAATATATTATCTTTCATACTAAACAACAGACAGGGTTCAGGATCCAGTCCAGTCCCCCCTAGACTTAGACTTGGACTGATTGCACTGCTAAGTCATCATTGCCTTCCCAAGTACAGTTCTAGTTTCTACATATAATATGAAGTGACATTGCAGTAGTAGATTAATAAGATCCACATAGATCTACAGATAGCATAAACACCAGAGATTGCTGCTGAGGTAAAGACAACAATGGCAAGCATTGGTTGGCAGCAACATGTAAATGAACCGGATATGGTCAGCATAAGCTTAAAGTCAGAATATGCTTGCAAGTTTAGAATCTTAGATGATGGAGACAAAAGGTCTTCATGTGTACCCTAACATCCTAATGTCTGAGAAATAAGCAGAATAGCCAGAATAGTAATAAAATGTTTAAAGAATTAAATGTTAAATTGACAGTATTCAGTTCTTAGTGCAATTGCCTGCATTGTTGTTCATAGGAGGTCTATCTGTTTATATGTCAAATAAAAACTAAATTCATGTTACAGAGTCTATTTTGTTCTCGTTTACAATCAAAAGCATTTTAAAACATCACGTCTGGTGAGGAGGCCTTGAAGGCAACATGTGCATTACTGCCACTGGTCCAGTAGATGGGGCAGTGAGGTTGTGGTTTTTGCTGGGCTGGCTGTCCACAAACCAGCTGTCTAGACCCGTTTTTCCATAAAGGTCAAGTTGGAAAGACACAGGAGAAAGATGAAGTAGTACCGGAAAACAACACATTGTGCTTTCAAAATAAAAGCACATTTTTGTTCTTCAATGTGCCTTTGTTCTCGAAATAAGACCTGCAATACCCTGCGTCTACGGTTCTCACAACAGAGCATTTCTAATAGCTACCACTGATAATCGCCTTGGGGTAAACCTTGGTAATTGATTTGGTTTTAAAATACGGTTTATGGATCTAACTCATGACTTATTATTACTTAATTATTACTCACGATGGTTTTGTGTTTCTGAACAGGCAGACATCATAGAGGGACAAGAATGGAAAAAGGCATATGTGGTGGTTTGACATTAAAAAATGTATATACTCAAAGTTTTTTGCAAGTGCAAATATCGCATGTGACGTACAAGAAATGCTACATTTACAGGATTCTTCATTTTGATAAGCAGTTATGCAGTGGAGGGAATACTTGATTTACCATCATAATTCAAATTACATTTTAAACTATTAAAAAAAGACCATCTCTGAAAATACCTCACACTGACTGCGTCCCATATGCAAAACCTGGCAGTATATTCCTGTAGCAGCTGTGTTATTTTGAAAGTTGTCGCAGGAAGTATTGCTACTTATCATGTGTGGCTTGACGCCGGTGTTGAATGCTCTGTAGTCTGTCGTACCGAAGAAAGCGAAGCGCTGGATTCAAGTGAGAAACCCGGTTCAGCGAGACACTCAGTTCCTGCAGGTAAGAACAATGCAAGAAATTGTTTCTTTGTGGATCACCTGGGGCGTTCAGAGATGCACTTAGCGCTTGTTTGGTTGTCTTCTACAGTGAGTAATTAACGATTGTTGAAGTGGCGTTTTAATTTCGTGACCCGGTTGCTCGCTCGGTGAATAGCAACGCAAAGCTACACATCAGCACTGTAACGTTTCACGAGTCCTATAATTAAGCAACAAGTAACGTTAACGTTGGCGAGGAATAAAGTTTGGAGAATTTAACATACGTGACACTAGCAGTAGCTCCATGTGCAGTGTTCTTCTTAAGCCAGTCAGTGGGGTTGTTTAGCTAACGCACATGATTAATAATGAATGTAAGTTGCTAGCTATCTGTTAGCCAACTAGTTATCTTGGTAGCAGAGTCGTAACCAGACACTTTTATCCAGCAACGTTAACCCTAAACTACGTGCAGTCCTCACGTCAAGAAATCGTTAACTTTCTGGCAATTGTGTTTCGCTTTACTTATTGAAATGATGCACTGACAAGTTCAAGTTTTTTAGAATTGTTAGAATATTCCGCATTCAAACAATATAAACTGTAACGTTACCAGCTCATTAAAGAACCCTTTGACCCGACAGTGCACCTCCCCCTTAAATGGCACACTGTGACAGATGTGGATTTAAGTAGATATTTCCTTTCAGTACGTGTCTTTTGTTTGTTTATATGTATGCCAAACCAGCCGGTGGCTTCCTTACTCGTGAACGATATAACGTTACGTGCTGTTTAACTGGTTTATACCTTCAATGTAAAGCAACGCAGCATTAACGTTAATCTACCTGTATTTTGACTGTAGTTTGGTTTGATGCATCCTGAAGCTACAGGTTAGTGTGCGCAGGCAGTGAAATGGGTTAGGAGAGGCATATTTGTGTGTCCAACTCTGCCTGAAGCATCGTTTTACTGTACCTTGGTAGACGTAGGCTTGAACACTCGGGCTGGGAGTATTTTTAGACTGCCTAATGGTAGGGTTTATTGTGTAGGGCTACATTTACTGCAGTTGGTTCCTTCCCCCCTGTTTCTGCTTGGTTTCCAAGCCTCTGTCCTTGCACAGACTATTCTTGGACATGTATAACTGCTGGGTTTATGGTGGAAAATGGTACAGATTGTCACAGCGCTGTAAATGTGTGGGGCGCTGTAGTTCAAACACATGAGGTGACATTGGTTAGGGGTGCCAAATGTGTTTTTGATTTCCCATTTTGCAAACAAACCTTAAACAGTTAATCTGTCGTGTAAGAGGTTAACATAACATTTTATTCATCTACCAATTGTGCCCTTTTTGCAACACTGACAAAAGTGGAAGGGATTCGTCAATAAATGTTTGATTTTATTCATTTGAAGCACGAACAAATTAGCACTTAATTTTTCTTTTAAGATATTTATGTTGTTGAGGAAAATGGACTGAAAAAAGATTTACTAATCTTATTTTTTGAAACAAGATTTTATCATTAAAGTTTTTAATGTTCTGCCTCAGATCTGTGAAGTGATCCACTGTTTGGCATCAAGTGTTTGGTTCCCTGACCATTTATTCTGACCAAATCCCCAACTCTGTTGGCTTCAGAGCACCAGCTGCCTTTTTTCTGCTCCCCAGTTCCTGTGTTTTCATGCATAGTGATGTCGCTTGACCTCCTACACAGCTGTTTCTGTTTCAGTCAGGATATAATTTTTTCCCGTAACAATATAACAAATGTATAACATAAATGTTTGACTTTATTCACTTGAATAATACACAAATTAGGAATTTTTAATTTGTTGAGGCAAAAGGACTGAAAAAAGCTTTTGCTTAATTTTACTCATGCATATTTATTGACAAAGATTTTATCATAATTGTTTTGAATGTTCTCCCTCAGATTTGTGAAGTGATCCACTGTTTGGCATCAAGTGTTGACCATAAAGAAAATTTAAACCATAATTAAGCATCAGCTTTCTTCAGCTTTCACTGAGGAGCAAAAATCAGCCTTTAAACTCAAAAGAAATAATGATTTGATACTTATTGTGATAATTAGCGAAAGATATGAAACTTTTCATCATGATAAAATTTTTGGCCATATCATCCAGCCCTATTTCCGTTAATGTTTGTGTTTCAACCTACGCATTGAATTCATGATCGTGAGCACCTGTTTGGTATAATTGTTAAATGACACACCTGACAATATGCCTAGAAAGTAGGGTTGGGCCGATAGACGATGCCTTGTCTATCCGACAGACATCATGACGTTGAGCCGGCATCGTGATTGAAAAACCCCCACCCTCCCAGCAAAAAAAAATCTCACATTTTCACAATACACCACCGTGTGAAAGCAGGTTTTAATGACCACGAACATTCTTATTATTGTTTTTAGTATGCTTTGCACCTGCCTCGGAATTCTCTTCTCCCCACACTCATACCTACACCTCAGGTAAACACCCCGCCTCTCTCTCTCTCTCTCTCTCTCTCCCCGCCTGCTCCATTTTCTCCATTAGCAGTATGTTTTATAAAGTTGCCTAAAAGACTGAGAACTCACATTTTTTCCATATATTTCCACCCGTTATCACGGCAGCAGGTGAGCCGCACGTCAGCTTATTGACGCAGCCTATCAAACAACTGAGACCAACATCGGCACCCTGTGTGTTCACTGTTTCTTTACGTAAAATATCCACCGCCACTTGTAATGTACACTCACCTAAAGGATTATTAGGAACACCTGTTCAATTTCTCATTAATGCAATTATCTAATCAACCAATCACATGGCAGTTGCTTCAATGCATTTAGGGGTGTGGTCCTGGTCAAGACAATCTCCTGAACTCCAAACTGAATGTCAGAATGGGAAAGAAAGGTGATTTAAGCAATTTTGAGCGTGGCATGGTTGTTGGTGCCAGACAGGCCGGTCTGAGTATTTCACAATCTGCTCAGTTACTGGGATTTTCACGCACAACCATTTCTAGGGTTTACAAAAAATGATGAGAAAAGGGAAAAACATCCAGTATGCGGCAGTCCTGTGGGCGAAAATGCCTTGTTGATGCTAGAGGTCAGAGGAGAATGGGCCGACTGATTCAAGCTGATAGAAGAGCAACTTTGACTGAAATAACCACTCGTTACAACCGAGGTATGCAGCAAAGCATTTGTGAAGCCACAACACGCACGACCTTGAGGCGGATGGGCTACAACAGCAGAAGACCCCACCGGGTACCACTCATCTCCACTACAAATTTGCAAGAGCTCACCAAAATTGGACAGTTGAAGACTGGAAAAATGTTGCCTGGTCTGAGTCTCGATTTCTGTTGAGACATTCAGATGGTAGAGTCAGAATTTGGCGTAAACAGAATGAGAACATGGATCCATCATGCCTTGTTACCACTGTGCAGGCTGGTGGTGGTGGTGTAATGGTGTGGGGGATGTTTTCTTGGCACACTTTAGGCCCCTTAGTGCCAATTGGGCATCGTTTAAATACCACCTACTACCTGAGCATTGTTTCTGACCATGTCCATCCCTTTATGGCCACCATGTACCCATCCTCTGATGGCTACTTCCAGCAGGATAATGCACCATGTCACAAAGCTCGAATCATTTCAAATTGGTTTCTTGAACATGACAATGAGTTCACTGTACTAAAATGGCCCCCACAGTCACCAGATCTCAACCCAATAGAGCATCTTTGGGATGTGGTGGAACGGGAGCTTCGTGCCCTGGATGTGCATCCCACAAATCTCCATCAACTGCAAGATGCTATCCTGTCAATATGGGCCAACATTTCTAAAGAATGCTTTCAGCACCTTGTTGAATCAATGCCACGTAGAATTAAGGCAGTTCTGAAGGTGAAAGGGGGTCAAACACAGTATTAGTATGGTGTTCCTAATAATCCTTTAGGTGAGTGTAAGTTAATAGTCTACCAATTTTTTTAACCAAGTGAAGTCTGTGCGAGAACACATGCACATAAGTCGACTGCTGCCCCCCTGCGCACCCGATGACATCGTCCATCCCGATGTTTCATTGTAGACTTCGTCCGATGGAAATTTTGTAGACATCGCCCAACCCTACTACAAAGTCCCTTACTTTGTGCAAGTGAACCTAGAAGAGTCTATGCTGTTTAGAAGGCAATAGGGGGGTGAAACCAAATATTGATTTAATTTAGATTTTTCTTCTGTTAATGCACTTTGTTTAATTTATAAATATAATCTATTAACATGTTTTTGAAAGCATTCTTACTTTACAGCATTTTTTCCACACCTGCCTAAAACTCTTGCACTGTGCTGTACGTTCTCATAAGCTCACACACTTCTTGTGCCTAGACTTGCAGGGATGGGTCGTGGTCTGGATGGCTGACGGACAGCGACTGGGACCAATCACATGATAAGATGCTGGCTCGTAACCGCTTCCTGCTGCTGGTGGTGGTGGGCGGGGCCGCGCTAGCCATCATCAGCCTGAGCCTCCAGTTCTGTAAGTGTGTTTGTGCTCAACTCAAGTGCATTACATATTAATTCTCTCTCTGAAGCCCTGGCCCAGAATTCAGAGTTTTGATGTGAAAGAAAAACTATTGTTTTCCAAAGAGAGGTTGCTCAGGTCTTCTGTTTGTATGTGTTTGCGTTCATACAGTCATATCCTCTCAAGAGACCCCCATTCATCCCAACACAAAGCAGAATCCCCTATAGGCTTCCTATAAATATCCAGCACCAACAGTGGGCCTCTGGATTTTCTGAAACCCTTAGAGAGTCTCTGGCAACACACTCACGTCTGCTGTGGAACGCATGGGTGTACACAATGGTGTCTTTCCTTCATCAAGTCATTGTTCAGCATCTCCTGTAGGTATTATCTACATAGGTGTATCTCTGCCCGCTACAGTGAATGCAAGGAAACCAGCGTTCAGTAAATGTAGACGTTCTCTCCTGCACTAGATGTGATTTGCAAGTGTCACAGACATGATTGGGGGAAAAAAACAGTGGCGAAGCAGGCAGTGCAGCACAAATGGAAATGTGTATTTCGATGTAAAATGTGTAAGATTAAGTTACTTTGTGTTGGATTCCTGAAAACGCAAATGCAGTGGAAGTGTCTGTGGTGATTGTAAGCTTGGGTCTGGACGGGCGTATAGGATTAGACTTGCGTATATCGTGCTCTCACACACACAGGATTATAGTGGAATTCAGCATGACAGAGCTGGTATTTTGGAACGCGTGTTTGCCAAAATATCGTGAGCTGTCCTTCATCAGCTTATAGGCAAGATAACTGTCCCCTCATTTAAACTCAAATGTGCAAGCTTGGAATACTGAAATCTTTCACTTCTCCTAGTACGCCCTGACTTGTGCTTATCTGGTGTTTGCTCTTTGCGACCCCAAGTACATACTTGTCTCCCCAGCCACCCCTCCCTCCCTCCTCCACTAGATAATAATGTGTGCTTGACCGTGTAATAGTGGGTTGCTGTGCGTGTTATTATTAATGCCTCACTATCAAACCCACTCTCAACTTCTGCCCTGTAATCTTCTCCTTTTGTAAAACGCTCAGTGGACTTTACTATGAGAGAAACCACCCCTCAGTAACTGGAAGTGTGTAGATATTTGCATACATGCCTGGGAAACATAAACAGAGTAGATACTGTTTATTGTTTCCCTCTCACAATGGGAATGTAATTGATGTCTGAGGTGTTTTTTTTTTTTTTTTTTTTTTTTAAAGTAAGGGACGTTATTTCCTTTGGGAAGGTTCTCTTTCAAAACTGCCCTCACTTTATTTTTTGAGTTGACTTTTGGAGACAAGCCGCTGTCATCATTTATTCATCGCACACGCTGTAGAGATTTGAGCCATTATCAAGGAGAAGCATGGGATAAAAGCTTATGGGATTCCTCCTCATGTTTAATACATGGTCAGCTTTTGTTTTTGTTTCACGCTTCTGTTCAGTTTTTAAATCATCTTCCTTGCTTTCTGTGTTTTAACTCTGTAGTCTGTGTCTCCGCAATATCTTTTCTCCACCCTCTTGCTTTTAAGGAAAGCCCATTTATGTATGTATTATTATTTGTTGACCATTACTATGAGAGACTGAGTGATCGATGGTGATTGTCGGTGGAATAAATGCCTCTGTCTGGCTCCAGGCTACCTGAAATTAAAGCCGGGACGGCTGCGAAACACATCAGCAAAGGGTGCAGGCGCCCCGCTGATTGACGCATGGGGGACTCCAAGAGGAAAGGGATGAGGCACTGCAGAGAGAGAACGACTGCAGGAGAGGGCATTAATGTGACAGAAACACAGAGAAGGGCAACTATTTTGAGATGTTAGCAGGAGTGATGGGAAAGGTGAAGCAGAGTTTGATGGGAGTTAAGTGCTCCAGGAGTGCTGGCAGAGTCACAGTGAGAGGGAAATGTCATGGGAAAATATAAAAGCAGGAGTAGAAAGGTTGGTTGTCTCTGAGGAATGAAAGGTCAAAGGATAGTGATAAAAAGAGCTGGAATGAAATACATCAGGTGCAGTATATTTTGAGGGAGAAGAGAGAGACAAACGTTAACAAACTTAAAGTGCATATATGCTTCAAACAAAATGCTTTTCAGACAGTTTGATAGCGGTGACAATTTCCAATCAGCTAATTTTTGTAACTGTTCCAACACAATAGTGTTAAATAGGCAGAACTTAAAGCACCTTGCAAATTCTTTTCTCCACATTCCTCACATTCTTATTATGTACAGTGTCTGCACTCACTGTTGAATCAGACTGATTGCCCTGTGCTGTCAGCGAGACTGTGCTTTCAGAGAAGAGACAGAGTAGCTGAAATCTTAACAAAAGGCCAGTCTTCGTCTTGCTCTTAGATTGGTGTAATGCAAGTCACAAAAGAATGACTAACTTTTAAGCCTAAAACGTTAGCTACCCTACCCCCACGCTAACTCAGGACCAAGAGATATGTTTCCATGGTAATAATCAGTAGCACCAGCTGAACAGTGACACAGACAGTAACTAACTATTGGCTAAACCACACACACAATTACACACGCTAAAACATGTTGTCAGCGTGGAGGTTCTTCACTGTGGGTAAAGAAAATACATATAGTTCGCAATATGTAATACTTGTAAGTCCAAAATAATGTTTCCACACAGACTTTTCCCCATACCCATGCTTTCTTAAAAATAATAAAATAATAAATAAAGATTGTATATTATAAGGTGCTCCACTACAAATATTTTAAGTGCCAAGTACTTTGTGACGAATAAGTAACTGAACAATGCAGTATATAGGCCAAAGCTAAATTGCTTCAAATTGTGTCAGAGAAAAAACAAAATAAATACAGTGAAAAACAGGAATGAGGCCCTTTTCCTGAGAGAGCGGTTGTTCTGACCCGCCCTGTTTTAATCACAGCTGTTGCTTCTGCCCTAGCTGGCTCTCCCACCTCAGCATGTTGGCAAGTGTCCTCCTCCTCCTCTCCTACATCTCTCTCTTTATTAGCTACATCTATCTCTTCCTTCTTCCCTTTACTGTAGCTGCCACTGCAGCACTGGCTGAAGACTGGAAATAATCAAAACAAATTAATTGGGTCATTTTTCACACTGGTCAGACTGTACAGCTTTCCCATGTGTTTGTTTTTGGGGAAGTATATAGCTACGCTGTTTTGCTAATTTCTCTGATCCAGACTGTGTTTGTGCCTCCTCCGAACGAGACCTTTTGAGTCTTTAAAAAATGTTTGTCAGTATTCATCTGGGTTGAGGGAGCAAACATTCAGTGTCAAAGTTAAAGAATTAACATTAACGTTATCCACTTGCACAAACAGTCGATTTTGACTAGCAGCTATGACCAGCGTGCTAACATCGAAGCCATCTGTCTGAGAGCGGTGCAAGGAGGGGCGTGAATCGATGTGCTGCACGCCTCTCTACAAAGATACATTTTACCCATTTTATAATAGTAAAAAAGAAAAATAATATGTGGCAGTCAATACTGATATTCAGTAATGTGGGAAACACTGATCTGTAATCTGACTGTTTTAATTAAGCCATCGTCAAAGTCTGTGTTTCTGAATAAAAGAAGGGACAGCTATGCACTAAAAGACAACTGGATACCTGTTAATACCATATTTTATCTTCTGAAGTCTGTTGTACCTAGGGATGACCCTGTCAGTTATTTTTGTGTGTGTAGAATCTGTCATTTATGAATTAGAAGGCCCATTGTGATGGACAGCTGTAAGCTGCCATGTCCATCCACACACATAGAACTTAGTCTGAGTCAATATTTGTAAAACCTTTTCACTGGTTTTTGGTTTTGACAAGTAAGTGGGGACACACCTTCTTAATTGCAGGCCACACCACAGTCTGAGAGTACCTGTTCACCCCCTACTCGCTGTGTGCGATGGCAGACACAAAGTTGTTTGCATGCATTTTGTGGCAGGGCACCCTCGTTGCTTATGCCTTCCAATAGAAGTCAAGCTGTGTCTGTGTACATAATGACGGTGAATGATTTACCAACATGGAGGTGGAAGATTTAACAGGGTGTACTATGTTTAACGCTGTATTTGTGTGTGTGTGTGTGTATAAGTGGAGTGTTATGTCATTCAAATGTGTTTGATCAGTGGCAAACTGAGTTTTCAACTTTGCTGAAAACCCTCTCAGACAGCCTCCTTTTGTGTTTATAAACTCCAATGTAGGTGGATAGAAAGTTGGAAACACATTCGTCCTAAAGGTTCATTACTCCTACCATATTTAGTGTGGGTGCATGAATTTGTTATGGACTGAAAATGTGTGTGTGTGTGTGTGTGCTCTGTGTGCCATGGCTGTGTATGCACTTGGTAGTGTTGGGCAGCGAGTTACAAAAGCCTCATTGTGTAGGTGACTGAATGAGCTGGCCTCCAAAAGTTTGGTGAGTCCAGGCAGACGTGTGTGTTTGTGGGTGGGTGGCAGAGTGTGAGGCACCGAGCGTACAGAGGGACAGGTTGTGGTAATGAATGAGCTCCAGTGTGTGTAGCTGGACCTCAAGCTGCCGAGCAGTCGTCAAAATGGTCTCCGCTGTGGCTGCACACCTCTTCTTCTTCCTCCTTATCAGTGGTGAGTTTGCAGAAACCTACAAAACTCTTTAAAGTACGACCTTACTACTCACTGTCTAAGAATAGAGAAGATCTTCACATGGATTTCACCACTTATTCAACTTAAAGATGTCTTGCTTTGCTGTTCTAGGTGTAGTTCCCAGTGCCAAACAATAAGTAAACCTCAACTAAATTTGGCTGGACCTCGGCTTGGTCAGACTTGAAAATGTATGTCTTTGTTCTGGCTTGTTCTGACAGACCAGGCTTTTGTGCCTAGGATGTGAAGTGTGCTCTCGTAAATCACATTAACTAATCTAGTTTTATGAATAATCATGATTGAGATCACTTTGTCCAAATTACTACACGTTATAGAAGAGCGTAACAATAAAAATCCTGTTTAGTACTCTTGCACAGCGATTTGAACAGCTTGTGCTTAAAGTGTGTCCGCTTTTCAGTGATACAATAATGTCTCACTGTTAAAGAAGGAGAGGTTAGAAATGGATGTAGAAGAAGAACATTTTGTTATCTCATTTTGTGCTCACATGTCTGTGAATCTCTAGAATAAAATCCCCTATGTTTTTTTTTTTTCTTTTAAATTGGTCATGTTGCAATATAGAACAATTTACATTTTGTTGAAGTTTTATATAAGCATTTGTGGTGCTCGATTTTGGTTGACTGTAAAGTGATGCAATTGCAATTTTAGGGTTGCAAGTAAATATATATATAGCCTTCATTTATACATTGATCTTTTCAAATAGTTAATAGTTTTGTCTATAAAATTTCATAAAACAGTGAAAAATGCATGCCACAGTTGCTTAACGCACAAGGTGACATCTTCAAATTGATTGTTTTGTCCAAAACCCCAAAACAATCATTTTGCTAAAATGTAAGACAGAGAAAGTAGCTGCAAAAACAGAATGCACTGGAAAAGCTGGAACCATCAAAAGTTTTGTATTTGTGGCCACACCCTAGATTTGGTAATGACCACTGCACTAAACATTGCTGTTGACAGGATTGTTGATTGTTGTTTATCAGATCACTACTGTCTCTTACATGGCAAACAATTAAAGAGAATAACGTTATTGACTGTTGTCAAAAACTTGGGTGTCCTGATTGACTCTGAGTTGGATTTTAAATCACATTGCTAACCCCAAATGAGGCTGAGACATTGTTGCCCCATTTCACTTGCATAGTCATACCACTATGTCATTATTCTCACAATGTAGGCACCCCTCTTTGACTTAATTTGTTAACCAATTTACTATGATTAACACGATCAAAGGCATTGGAAGCATCAATAAAGGATTGTTGAGTTGTCTTTATATTTGTTTACAATTTACTTTAAAGCGTACTGTATGTACTCAGTCAGTACTGTGTATACCGTATGTATAAAGCTATGGACCAGTTATGATCCAGATTACTGCATTATGTACTGCATTTCTCGCATGATTCAAAGTTCAAAAAATATTTTTGTATCTCATACTGGCACTTCATGCAGGCCCTCATTTCAGCATCTGTCTGAAACAAGCTGTAGATGCTCCTGCTCTTTGAGACCCCCCCCCCCCCCCCCCCCCCCCCTCCAAAGCCCACTGTCTTCTGATTGGCCATTGTCTTATGTGTTTACCAGGTTGCCGCAGGGAAGGGCCTGCATTTTCCTTTGTGGGCGTGGCCTGCATGCTCTGCCTGGATCAAATGACCATATATGGAAATCCGGCTCGGAATGACATCATATCGAGCCGTTAATAGAAAAAACTATTTAAAACAGAGCGTTCACAACAGGGGGATATCTGAGCAATAGCTGAACCCAAAATACCGTTCGCTGGTGTAAGAGTTAACGGTGGTCCTCTTTAAATACATTAACAGTGTGAAAGTCATTCGGGTGAACGATAAAATTAAAGGACATGCATGTATGCATACATATGCATTGTCAGTTAATTTGCGTTCATTGTGTAAGACTTGCACTATTTTAGTTAGGTGAAAGTGACGGGCAAAATTCAGTTTTGTGAACATCACATTGATAGTCCAGAAGGATTTTTTGTCTTTATGTCTTCCAAACCTTCCCTTTTAATTTTGACCTGTCCATCTTTGGACTCAAAAGTATAATTTTTGTAAATGAAAGGAGTACAGTGGAGTCAGCCTGATTCCCACCGGGTGCCATCTCAGATAATGCATGTGACAGATAAATTAGAACATGTTCTGATAAAAACTGTGTGGCACTGTGTGAATGCTAGAGACAGTGTGTAACACTTACTTACACTGCACAGTATGTATACAGCTAGACTCGCTCATGTAATCAAAGTCTGAGGGTTGATATAGCAATACGAAACCATTAGCTCTTTGGTCTTCATGATCAGGTAGGCAGGGCCTCTCTTTCTTCTCTGCAGCACGATGTAATAATTGCAAAGTTTTCTTGCCAGCTTGGATTTCTGATGTGACATAAGTAGGACCTGGATGTCCGTCTTGCCAAAGGGCCATATGGGTTCAACTTCTTTTTCTTCAGAGTTGGATCTTTGTGAATGGACCTTCCAGTTCCCATGACATCGCTGCTTCTATTGGACCATTTCTCCTAGGGGTTACAGGGCACTGGTGTCCAGGCAACACACTGGTAGCAGTGGGCGATTTTGGGGTACAGAGCTGTTGACATGAAGATGAACAGTTAAATTGCTTTTCCTAACTTTAGCTCCGCCAGTGGGCCGTTTGTTGTTGCTATTTATGAATTATTGCATGTAAAACTTTCTTAAATCTGTAAGTTTAGGGTTTTAGATCCTTTACATCATCAGTTGCCAAAATTAGTATCCCATCTTTTTAGTTAGCTAGTAGTATGACTCTAGGAATGACAATGTTTGTCTGTCAGTCGGTTCACCAATTTGGTCCAGAATGAAGTAAATGCGTATCAAACGGAAGCCTGGGAGACTTGGTCTTTTCATCTAATGCCATCATCAGGTCAAAGTTTCTCAACATCTATTGGATGGATTGACGCAAAGTTTTGTTCAGGCATTCATGGCTCCCAGACAATGTATCTTAATGACTTTAGTGATCCCTTTGGTTCACATTCGTGGTTTTAAGTGAGGTGTTGGATGGATTGCCATAAAAGCTGGTGCAGGCCTTCACTGTACCTGTTTTACTGACACTGAGGAGTAAAGAAACCAGTAAATATTCACATTTAAAAAGCTGGAATCAGAGAATTTTGACTTTTGACTTGACAAATTGCTCAAACCGATGAATCAGCGGTGAACATTGTAAACATTACCTGCTAAACATCAGCATGTTAGCATTTTCACTGTGAGCATGCTAGTATGCTGACATTAGCATTTAGCACAATGAACAACCGTGCCTAAATACAGCTTCACAGTGCTTCTAGTATGGCTGTAGACTCCTGAGGTTCTAGCGCGGTCTCTGTGGAAATTCTCACGGGAGCTCCTAATTTTTCACATTATACCACCCTGTGAAAGCAGGTATTAATCCCTGCCAACATTGTTATTTTTAAATATACCTGCTTTGCACCTGCCTCTGACTTCTCTTCTCCTCACACTTACACACACCTACACCTCTGGTCTCTCAATACAAACACACCTGCTTGCCCCGCCTCTCTCTGGATCTCTCTGTGTAGGCTATCAAACAACCGAAACCAAAATCTCCACTCTGTGTGTTCACTCTTTCTTTACCAGGTCCGTGCTTATCCACCGTGTCCGCGACTTGTAATGGAATAGCCTACTAAGTTTGTATAGAGTGAAGTCTATGAGAGTTAACACACCCCAGTGTATAAACTCACAAGGCACAAGTCGCACTTTTGTCCATGCCTGTTTTGCAGTGATTGTATGTTGCCGTTGTACAGCATTTGTGTTATTTTCTACCTGCCTCCTTGCTCTTCTCATCTTTATAATACTTGTCTGATTGCTGGTGTTTTTGAGAGTAGGCGGAAGATAGAAGAGAAAGTGATTGGGTTGGTGGTACCACAGATAAACAAGCCAAGCCTCAACAAGTAGCTCTGATTTTTCAAATGAGGACTGCAAGTGTGTTTTGTGGAGCCTGGCGCGAGAAGCATACAATTGGCCTTAATCTTTTTTTCATCTGCTTTTTTTAATTTTTTCCCTTCTCTCCCAACTCTTTATCCATTTTTCTCTTTCTTTAAACGTCTCCAACCTACCTTTTAATTTTCTTTTTCTACAGTGAACCTGATCCCCATCACTCCCATAGTGGAAGAGCGACCCTTCCAGGCTGCTGATGGAGGTGTTGGAGGGGCTCTGGGGAAGAGCAGAAAGAGAGTGTTCCCCGTGCCTCACACCCAGGAACCCAACCCCATATCTGAGGCTTATGGCTACTGCAACACTCCCAACCGTACCGAACAAGCCTGGGAGGGTGAGACCTGCACACTTGCACACAAAATCTTTCTGAAGACTGTAAGCCTGTGGATGTAATATGTGATTTTGAGCTTGGCTACATCTACAATTTGTGTTTGATTGAGGAATTTATTAAGTTAAATCTTTCCAGTTTAGTAGCAGTGTGTCACTGTGTCACTGTTTCAGAGCATTAAGAACAAATTTAGATCGTTTTTTCCCGCTGCTAGAATCACCCAATTTGATGGACAGCATATAAATACTTAATATAGTAATAATGTCAGATTTAGTGTGTCAGGACTCGGGGGATGTGTTAATTGTGCGAAAGTAATTTCCACTAGATTGCATCATCCATAATGCTGCAGTGCTCTCGCTCTACAGCACAGCAGCATGCAGCCTTGTGGGCTTTTTTTCCTCCACTGAAAAGTCAGCACAGCCCGAGGTGATTATACAAATATCCTTCACTGCCTAAGACAAGTTATACCGGCCACCACTAATTGAATTTTACTCTGTTTATCTCTGGATGACAGTTTTGTCTCTGAAGAAGAAAAATCAATGACGTTTTTTAGATTAGAAGTTATTGAAAATCAATCATGAACAAGTTGTTCTTTTTTCAGGTGGGTTTGAATTTCCTGTTACATTAATTAACTGTTTAACACTCATATGCGCATGCGCGCGCACACACACACACACACACACACACACACACACACACACACACACACACACACACACACACACACACACACACACACACACACACACACACTTTCTCAGCCCAGTTCATTCTTTGCACTCACCAATGACAATGAACACTTTTCTGCTGCTGCTTATTTGGCATGGTACAAGATTTGCAAACATCTCTTTATTTGCACATTCAGCAGGTACAGAGCAACCTTAGCATTAATGTGGAGTTGTGTTTCTGGCCACCTGATGACACCTAAGTCCAATATTCGCTCGCCTTTTTGCTTTGTTTTGGTCTCCACCAACTCCCGAGAATAATATTTGGCTCTTTGGCTGCTAAATACTCCGCTGTGTCCACCAGCTAGTTGCTAACTCTAATTTGGCTGTGGGCATGTAGTGTACAGTGGGTTTAGTACGGAAAATATCTGCCTGCTGCATCTCAAAATGACACCGATGAGAGTGGTAAGAAGCAAAACAGTAAAGGTGTGGGTCATAACACCAAAGACAGTAATAGACAAAGCTCTATGGAGCTGACGGAAACTTTAGTCGAGTGATAATTAATTATCTGTTGCTTCATCAAGTGTTGATTGTAGCAGCTTTTGTTTCTTAGTGGAAAATGCATGGAACAGTGATTTTATAATTGCATTCTTTCTTGTCTTTCTGACAAAAATCAACAAAATTTGTTCTGCTTTTTTATCAAGCGTTAAATAATGTAACTGCAGTTAGAATATTTAGTTAATTTTTAAAAGTGAACCATTTTTATAAAAAGTATAAGTAAAACTATCTCCAGTATTAAAATAGCAGTTCTTTACACTACTTATTTGAGTGGAAAAATGTGGATGCCGATGAGTCTCCACTGAACAGGTCACAGTCCTGCTGACTACAAGCTGCTGTCTGTCCAAGTGATGATTCGCCATGGTGACCGGTATCCACTCTACTACATCCCCAAGACTAAACGCCCCGCCATCGACTGCACCTTGTCCATCAGCAGGTACACACTCATCTCCCACAAAATATATAGTAGCAACGTCCAGCATTTTTTACATCGTAGTCAAATTCTTTGTATTTCCCCGGTGCATTACTGTAGAAGGATTTGGTGTTCATCCCTGTTGTCTCTCCAGTTTGTGAAGAGGGTGAACATGTTGAAAGGAATCTCTGTCTGCCTGATGTCCTGGCCGTGTCAATCCTGAACTGAGTTGTTTAGAGAATGGTGTTGAAAGTTTAGTGTACTAAAAAACGTGCAGTTCTTTGTGTGATCCGGAATTGAGCAATGTTTATAATAAAATCGTTCAGGTGGCCGAGAGAGCTCAACACACTGCCACTTGAGAAAACACGAGCAATGACCAAAAACATTGTCTCAATTTAAACAACATGCGATACATTTTGAAAAAACAACAATTCAAGAAACTACTGCAGATAATTGAAACAGGGAAATTAAGGAACACATTCACATACATGGCATAAAACAGTGTACTGCAAATATAAGACCAAGTTCATAAATGTATCATGAATTCCTTTTAAGTATAATGCTATCCAGTACAATAACCCTGCAATAAAAACTACTGTTGTGGCGCTTATAGTGTTCAATGTTTGTGTGATAATAAAGATAGCCACAGTTGGTCTTGAGGCTCATTTTAAAATTTAGTCCATGGGGTCTCAAGGGTGCCGGATAATAAATAGTGCCCTAAAAATGCCCATTTATGTTTCAATTAGCAAACAAGTAAGAAAAGCTTAATGAAGAGCATTCCTACACTTTCCGTTGGTTCCCACAGTCTGTAGAAAAAGGCTTTATGTTCACAGTTTCAATTAATCCAGGTCAGAGTTAAGGGCACACCATGTCTCCTTAAGCTGGCTTCCTGAGCACACCCCCAGCTCCCTCTGTCTGATGCCTAACAAGAAGAACTGCTGGAAAGTTTGGGAGAGTGAAACTTACGGCACCAGCTTCCCATATCCTCTTTAAAAACGGCTGGCTTGATAGCAGCTGTCGGAAAATTAGCTCAGCGTGTTAAATAGAAAGTAGTTATACATTCTTTTCTCTGTAGTATTTGTGAGGCTTACAAGAAACGGTAACTAAATGAATATGTTTTACTTTTGAAATATCAGTATCTGTGTAGGCATTAAACTCAACAACACCATAGAAGATACACTTTCACAGTTCCCTTGGTTTCCCAGTGTTATTGCGTGTGTCAGCGAAAGTGGGTGGGTTTGATTTGCTACATCTGTTCTGCTGTGCTTTGGTGCAAATGGATACACATATAAAGATAAACACATGTACATGTGCACTTGGTCTGTTTACTCAGAGTTGTTGACGGTCTTGGCTCGCTTGATTTGAGCAGCATGCTCTGCCTCTGCAGAAATCCCTACTGGAATGTGGGTGGAAAATACACACACACTCAAATTAGTATTGCTATCTGCTTTAATTTATAATGCTCCTTTCTCTCATCTGCATCTTTTCTGGCTCTGCTCACATTGGCTCTGCTGCTTTTTTCTGTACTTCAGCTTCAGAAGAATTCAGAAATCAGCACTTTCACAGCCAGGTTCTGTGTGTATACATTAAATTAAATTTATGCAAACTCTTCATGTGGATACACACTTGCCATGATAACAAACTGTGCTATTTTTAAATCCAGAAAATTTAGTTTGGTCAGATGGTTTTGTTGTGTGCACACACATCCCCTTGATGATAGATGATTTATTTAGACCATATGGTCAATACCAATCCTGTTTTTGTGGGCCATGTACCTGAATTCAGATTTAACCAACGACTTAATTTTGCACAAAGCTTTCACTGTTGCCGCATCAGCTTTGCACATCTGGACGGAGCTGGCACGCTGTAATCTTTTGAGCTGGCACTGCATTTCAGATTGATAGGTTGCATTTGAGCTACTATGCACCTCTAATTACTTGATGGGTTTTTTTATACCCTTGATCCTTGAACTCGAGCTGAAAGTAGGCCATCCAGCGCACAAGCCTCTTATGCTTCCATTCAGAACTGACTCTAGTTGCCTCCATCTACTAAAATGACACCGGTGTGCCCACGAGCATGCATCTCCTCCCTTTGCTCAGCAGCTGCTCTTTGGCCAATAATTGTATCTCTGTGGTTTAAGAAGTGTGTGTTTTTCTTTGTGGTATTTTCTTTATTGTAGATAGGGTTGTATACACTTGTATATATGACCCTATCTAAAGCACAAGGACACAATCAAGTACATGATGTCATTACAGACCTAATCCCATTCCCATTACCGTGGTACATTATTTGGCTATTTATTGCTAGCACTATGGCTCAAGAGATGGCAATGTGACTGCATTGGTCAGTGCACCACCCTGGTCCAGAATGAAGTATCTGAACAAGTACTGGATGGGTTGCTGGGAAATTCTAGACATCCATGGTACTCACAGTCCTTGACCTGATTAGAAGAGTGAAATATCTTGACAAACTACTCAGTGGATTGGCAAGAAATTTGATACCGATGTTCTAGTTCCTTAGTTACTTTGACTGACTTTTCCTCTAGCGCCACTGTGAGGTTGACATTTTTGGTATAGCGTGAAATGTTTGGACAAATGTGGGACGGATTGCCTTGTAATGTGGCACATTCATGTTTCCCATGTCACTGTGCTAGCATTGCTCTTAACCAGTTTTATCCAGGCATCCAAATGTAAAAATTTTAAGAAAACCTTTAGGAAGTCTGCAGAAAATGAGACTTGGTGTACATTTCCATCCACTGCAGTTCACTGCAACAAGATGATGTAATTAAAAAAGGGCCAGTCAAGCCTCAAACAGTGGGAAAACAATGTGGAAACCAAGATAAAATAAACCACTTTTGTTAATTTAATTTATTTGAGGGTTACATTCTCCTCATTGCTCCACACAGATCTGACGTTTTTGTCTGCCGCTATTTTTAGTCTCTTCAGTGGATGTTTAAGTCACAGGCTTCCTGCACATCATGATGACGGAGTTCAGTTTTAAGGAGGATGAAGGTACACAAACAAGCAGACAAATCTATAGATGCAGAGAGTGAAAGCTTACAGGGGTTTATATAACAGAGCTACCACACTGAGGCTGAATGAGATCAGCTGCAAAGTGTGTTGGGATTACTTGTGGGTTGAATGTGCTTATTTTGCATTTCATATTTCTGTATGTCCTCGAAAATGTAGGAAGTTCTGTTTTTTCTTTTTTTAGACCAGTGTGTAATTACAGGGATCTGAACTAGCATATGCCCAGGGCTGGATCATTACAGAGAGCTCAGTTTTGTGTGCGTGCGTGCGTGTGTGCGTGCGTGTGTGCGTGCGTGTGTGCGTGTGTGCGTGCGTGTGCGTGCGTGTGTGCGTGCGTGTGTGCGTGTGCGTGCGTGTGCTGGCACCAGCTTGTCGACCCACTGTCTCCGTCTGCGGTTAACTGAGCTCTCTTCTGCAAGGATCTCTCTCTCTCTCTCTCTCTCTCTCTCTCTCTCTCTCTCTCTCTCTCTCTCTCTCTCTCTCTCTCTCTCTCTCTCTCTCTCTCTCTCTCTCTCTCTCTCTCTCTCTCTCTCTCTCTCTCTCTCTCTCTCTCTCCTTCGTCTTCTACCAATACAGTCTTTGTCAAGGTTTTTTCTCTTTCAGCACCATCTCATTTCCTTTTCTGTTTATTCCACCTTCCTATTTATCCTGCTTTTTTCCCCCTCATCTCTCTGTCCTTTCCTCCATCCTCGCTAATCTCTCTCCCAGTCCTATCCAGTGATAATAATCCCTGCTTAATGTAATTGGGCCCTGTAATCCTTGGTTAGCAACAATCAACCTAATAGACAGCCTGACTGGCTCTTTGTCCACACAAGTGTCCCCATCCACTGACATCCAGTCCCCCACTGTAGCCAATTAAATGTAGATTGGCCCAAACCTCCCCTCAGCAAAATGATCTGCTGATGACAGCAGAGTGGAGCACATGTGGGCACAGAATCTCACTCATTTCACCAATGTGCCTTGTGGTGCATATATTACTGTGTAAGTGAATATTAAAGTCTGATAATGCAGTGAGAGGCGAGTGGATGCATTGTGACAACAATAGAAGATGTTTTCCCGTGCAATCAGAGTTTTGCTTTGACGATTTTATTTTAACAAAAAAAACGGAATAGTCCTTTGTAGCTATGTGATTGTCCTTTTTATAATGCAGCTGGTGGCTGTAGATACCAGCTTAAATTTACTGTTCTCAGTCAATCACAACAGTCAAGAGCGTGATTTAAGAGTAATGACAGAAGGTGGTTTTTAGTGACGTGATCCTGAACCAGTTCATGATCACTATGGAAACAGTGTGTCTGTGTGTATGTGTGTGTACTCTTTTTAATCTGAGTGAAATGAGGTGCAGCCCCCGCAGATTTGTTAAACCGTAATCTTCAGTAATCTCTAATCTATTAGATCACCGACTGCTCCTCTTGCTGTCCAGTTCCATGCGTGTTGCGTGTGAGTGAGTTTGTGCTAAGTGTGTGTCCCAAGGCAACAAATTCTTTCTTTTTATATCTCCATCTCCCATATTCCCTCCTACACAAATTGAACAGTACTGTAGACCAGCAGTGTTGTGTTGGAGAGACACCTGGTGGTAGCTGTGGGAAGTGGCCACCACCTGCAGTTACATACTGTAAATAACCTCTCATAAGTTAAGTTTTTCTGGATACTGATAATAAAATGATGCGGCCCTCTCTGTGTTTATTTTTATTATTGATTAATAAGATGATGTTTTCTTGATTGATAAAATAACTGTTACATGCAGTTGTAACAAATGACAATCAAACTATTACATAGCCCAAATTTACATCATCTAATGGTTTGTTTTGTCAGACCAAAACAACAATAACAATTTTATGTGGAGTACCATTCACTACTGTATTGTGTACTTGTGATCCCACCTCTTGTCCATAACTCAATGATGTTTACAGTGGCTTCAAAGAGACAAAACAACATTTAAGAAGCTGGAGCCAGCAAAAGTTTGGATCAATCAACTGTTTAAATGATAAATCAATAGAAACTTTGCCATTTCATTTTCTTCCCAGTAAACCATGACAGTGAGCCAGCACGCACAATATCAGGACCCGAAAAAACAAGCAGCTAAATGGAATTCAGCTGTCGTTCATTTTATTATTTACACCTGGTCTTATCCTTTGACATGTGAAAAGGGCCCATCTCTTAGCATGAGATGAGGAGTGTGGGAGATACATCAAAATACACAGCTTAATAGCGTAGACTGATTTGAAGCAAACTTGCTATTATTTTTATGTGTTATGTAAGTAAAATCAGCTCACTGAAAAACACATGATTATATAGAAATGACTACTATTATCACTGTTAATATCTGTAAGATTTTATCAAATGTATTTGTGCCTCATTTCATCCAGCATGTTTCTCTAAATATTTGTTTTGTTGCCCTGAGGTTGGACACACAGGCTTTAAATCCACAGGGACAATGAAGCAGTTTCTGTAACTGCCCAGTGACCGTATGAAACTGTCATCATCTGGGCATTAAAACAGTAGATAACATTAACGTTTTCCTGAGTGGTGCATTATTTCACATAATGGTATGGGTATATGGAAGTTGATTATTCGCAGTAAAAAATAAAACTGCTGCAGTCAAAATAAAACTGTTGTTGTGAATACTTTGTGTTGGCACCTTCTCGTCTTTGTCAGCCTTGGAAAATTTTTTACAGCAGATATGAACATCCTTTTGCTCCTACTATAAATTTTGAATGCTGATGAGCCTGTGTGGTTATCTGAAAATAATGCACCGTACACAACACTTTACCTTCTTACCACAGGAAGCCTTCGCACCCCCTGCTGAACTCCTTCATTAGTCACATGGGCCTGGGAGGGCGTGGCCATTGGGAGTCACCACTTACCTCTGTTCCCCGTTTGCCCAACCACAGCACCTGTGAGATGGGAGAACTCACGCAGACAGGTAGGCAAGGAAGATATCGCCACCACGACCAGACAGTTTTCTTCTCATCTCAACCAAAACGGCACTTTTCAGTATTGCCTAATTTAATTTATACCAGTGAATAAAAAGCTTAAAACGTTGCTCTAGAGTCAGTAAATTGTTTAACCTACATGTTAATGTCTTATTTTATGCAGTAGAGCCTTTTGTCCCTCTTGACACTCTTTGTTAACAAGCACTGATATAAGTATAAATGTCTAACAAACATCTTGTTTCCATTCTTTTCCAGGTATAGTGCAGCACCTGCACAACGGGCAGCACCTTCACCAAGCCTACAAGCGTCACAATCTCCTCCCCTCCAACTGGTCGCCCCGCCAGGTGTGGGTTGAGACAACCGGTAAGAGTCGCACTCTCCAGAGTGGACTGGCCTTACTCTACGGCTTCCTCCCAGACTTTGATTGGACGAAACTGACCGTGCGGCACCAGTGGAGTACGTTGTTCTGCGGCTCAGCCTGCGACTGCCCCGCCAGGAACAAATACCTTGAGGAAGAGCAGAGGAGGCAGTATCGGCTCAGAGTGAGTGATACCGAACTTGAGAGGACTTATGCCGATATGGCACGGACTTTGGGTCTGCTCACCCGCCAGCTTCGAGCTGCAAACCCTATAGATTCCTTGTTGTGCCACCTGTGCCACGGGATTTCTTTCCCATGCGTTCCCATGGGAGAGAGTAGCACCGGTGGATGTCTGACAATGGCACAGTTTGCTGTGATTCGTCGACAGCAGCTAGATGATGAGGTGGATCGAAGAAGAGCCGGGCTGTACCATAAATACGCCATCCTGGCCATGTACCCCTACCTCAACCGAACTGCCACCAAGATGGAGCGTGTTGCCAAGGACGGCGAGGGTGGCCGACAGCCCCGTGCAGGGGGCGAGGAGATCTTCACCCTCTCTTCAGCCCACGACGTTACCATGGCCCCGTTGCTGAGCGCCCTGGGACTGGAGGAGGCCCGCTTTCCACGTTTTGCAGCAAGAGTAGTCTTTGAACTGTGGAAGAGTCCCCCAGCGATGCAAGGACTCCAGAAGAAGAGAGCTGGCAAAGGTGAGAAGTCAAAGGCGAAAGATGGGGAACTGTTCATCAGGGTGCTGTACAATGGTGAAGATGTGACATTTCACACCACCTTCTGTCGCTCCCACGACCGCCACGGCAGCCGGCCCCTCTGCCCTCTGAAGAACTTCCTGTCATTTGTCAGGAGAGACATGTTCACTGTTGTCAATGCTACTTCCTACCAGGAGGCCTGCTACAGGCGCGCCGGTTGACAGGTGGACAGATGGAAAGGAGGGTGAATGAGTAAGGATACAGAGTTGACAGATGGTTATACTGTCCTTTGCTTTGTGTTTAGTTTTCCACTTTTGAAGATGGTGCACTTTTATGCTGCTCATAGTGTCTTACAAATTCCGCATCGTTTTAAATGTAGTCTTCGACACTCCTGAGCACAAAGTGAGTGGCATACACACAGTACTGTAAGTTTCTAACATTTATAAAATTCCTTTTTTTTATGTATGTTTTCTTATCAACGTTCAAGTCATTCGAGGGAAGTTGTATGGCACGTAGCCACTTTATTCCTACATTCCATAATACCATGGAATTGTAAATTCCAGTATTGAAGCTGGAAACACTTTTCTGGATTAATCATTCCTGGAAAATATTTTGTGTGTAATAAGTCTTCAATAAAAAATACACTTTGGGTTAGTTTGACATTGGTATTCATTGTAGCAGGCTGTCTGTTTAATGGTAGGGATTATTTCAACTTTGACTACTTTTTTTTCCTCCTTTTTTTTGTAAAATCGACAGCGGTACTTTGAAAGTGACAAGTGATAGATGTATTCCCCTTACATGAATTTATAACTACAATACATCTGTATTTAGATTAATTGGTGATATAACCAACCACATTCCACTCATTGTTTTTGCCTGTAGGAAACTGGATCTAATAAAGGTTCATTATGAGCAGAGGTGTTTATATCAGCTGTGACTCGTTTGCTGAAAAATGGTTTCCTGGTGGTATTTTGGTATAAAGCATGTGACCCACAATCCCACAAGTCCGTATGTGTTATGTGTAAGTATAAATGACTGAACACTGAAGTGAAAAGAACATTTTTCAACCGCAAACTCTTGACATGATTCTGCCACTAGATGGCATATTAGCTCCACAAACCTAATTCATACCCAGTCTAACCCATCTGCTACTATCAGTTATCCACTTTGTCAACAGTGCTGCAGGGGCACAGCACATAGTCAATACATTTATATAAATGTAAAAACCCTTGAGTGCCTATTCCCCCACCACTAGACAAGTCTTGTGTCATAATCATTAGGAATATAATACGATGCTGACAAGATATCAATTGTACAGCTCATTTTCAAAAGTGCCTCAGCATGCTTGCACTACTTTTCCCTTTAGAATCTTCAGAATCAGGAGAGTATTGACTGGAAAAATGCAATAACAAGAATGAGATGGGTAAATTACATTTGCAGTGTATGGACATTACATTCATCTTGGCAGTAGAGGGCTATTTGCTATAGTGAATAAATGGGTACGCAACTGATGCTGTAGACAGATCTCCTGGGGCAAGAGTCTACATTTTAAGTTATGAGGGCAGGCGTGCTGGGTTTATAAGGCAGTTGGGAGATGTGTGCGTTTCATGAATTTAAAGATCTTATAATAAGGACTCCTCTTAGATAACCAAAAGTGTTTGACAAGTATGAAAATATGTGAATTCCAAGAAGAGGGGATTAAAAATCACATTCTGTTTGGTTCTGTTTGCAGAGTCACACCCTAAACTTAAGTTCACATCTCAATCCTAAAGTTGAGGTAAAACGCACAAGTCGATGCAAATTTATTCTCAAACTTTCCCTGGTCACGTCCAAACCGTCTCCCAAGACATTTCCCATGTTATGCCATGACGTCAGGGTTGTTAATGATAGGAGCTAACCCTCCCCGCCCGGCCCGATTCCTCCCTCTTTTGTCCTGCCCTCTTCCACCAACGCCTTTCCCTCTAGGCCCTGTCACCCCTCTACCGTCTGATGTCATCTCACCAGACCGAGGTGGGGCAGCAATTTCCTCACGCCGCAACTCGTTCAATCTTTGATGTTGTTACGCTGCCTCTGGCATTGGCTTATACATCAGTGTCTGTGTGTGTGTGTGCGTGTGTGTGTGTGCAGAGAACCGTAAAGACAGATCAAGGTGAATGTAGTGTGTATGCTTTCGCTTGGCTCAGTGTGTACATCAGCCTGTTTGTCTGGCCTCAGAACAATGTCCACTTGACCCAGTCTGGCTACAAAATCCTGCATATAGATTTCCAAACACAACCAGGCTGTCCAGCATCAATAGTAACACTGTGTGTGTGTGTTTGGAGGGAAGATAGGAAGACAGATGACTGACAGCTCAGACAGTAGGAGAGAAGCATTGTGGTCAACACTGAGAAGAAGCGAAGAGCGAGTGGTTGCGGTTATGGTTCAACATTAACCTCATGGAATCAGCCCCGGACTCTCCTCTCTCCAAAACCACAGTTACAGCCACAAATCAGAGGAATTAAAGAGAGAGAGATTAGATTTCATGTGAAGATGTTTCTGAGAATGTTGAACAGCCACCAGAGTCGGGGGTGATAGAAGCCAAGCGTTGGCCAGAGGCTCTGGTTCAGGCTAACGCCACCACAAACATGACCTCAGCTTCCCACGGTGAGTTCTCCTAGCTCCATTCCCCTACAATTCATAAGAAATGAGCCAGTTAGAGTATGTGTGAGAATGACATAATAAATCCAGCACCACACACACACTGGGGATTCCTTGAATGAATTTCATCAAAGTGAGACAATTTTGTAATCTGATCATTTCAACCCCTCTCGATAATTTCTCTTTGGGATCCTGATGCCACCTGCGGGAAGAGTTTTTAAAGCACTATTTTTCAATTTGGGAATTGCACTTCTATGCTTTCTTGCTGAAATTTAGACAAGACTACTACCACTCACCTGTACATTGAATGTGAAGCTCTTTGTGCTTAGCTTAGCACAAAGAATGGAAACAGCCAGCCTGGCTCTGTGCAACGGTATCAATCCTCCCACCAGCTTCTCTAAAACCAGTTAAAAAATTAGATGTTGCAAGTGACTGCATTGGTAACCTGTTAGCCGAGAAATAGCCTAGCACATAACCCCTTAAAACTGTTTTTTTTTACTGATTCAACAAATGAGCCAGAACATGTAATAGACTTCAGAGTTGCTTGTAGGTGGAATTTGTTACTTTTCGACAGAGCTAGGCTAGCTGTTTCCCCCTTTACAGTCTTTGTGCTAAGCTAAGCTAGTGAATAAGCACATTTCTCAAAATGTCACATTTTTATTATTATATTATTATTTTTATTTATTATTATTATTCCTTTACAGCTTTTCATGAACTACGATAAGAAAACAATGTACATTTTGTAGGCAGGGTGACATTCTTAGTGCATAAGGAGACATTTTTGGGAGGTGAGGTGACAGGAGAGACCAAAAGAGTGTGTGTGTGTGTGTGTGAAGTTTAGGGTTAGCTAATTGGGCTCTGCAGAGCGTGTGTGTCCTGTCTGTCAGTGTCTAGACTGTGCCACCGGTTGTTTTCTCAGATGTGAGGCTTTATTAAGCCCTTTACTTAAGCAAACAACCCGGCTACCATGCAAGTATCTCCATGTGAGTGGCTGTGTGCGTGCTGCCCGTACAAGTTTGAATGCGGGTTGTGTTTGATGCTCCTTGTTTGTGTACTTACCTGTTTGTGATTTATTGAGATGGGAGCAAGTTCTCGTTCGCTTAAATAATAAGGATTTATGAGTCTCTCTGTGCTGTAAGTGACGGGCCAGAGGCTTCGCCCCACACAGAAGCACACAGCCGGGCTAATTGAGTTTGGTCATTACTGCCTCGTTCCTCTATCAAGGGCTCGTTCAGTTGGTCATCCATCACAACACACATACGTGCACACTCCATAAAAAACATTTTACGCTTTGAACACTTTTCTTGAGGTGAGGCTGCCGATTTTTTTCCCCCCAATGTGTGCGTGTGTCACTGTGCCATGTAGCAGCATGCACACACACCGTGATATCCACCTTGATTTCTCTTGCCTGTCTGCGGTGATATTTGTGCCTTTTTTGTCCAGCTTGCCTGTCTTCATCTTCTATCTTAAGATGTTGCACAGTGAATGTCTGAGTGTGTCTTCAGCAGGGATTGGGGGTGTATGTGGAATCCTGTAAAACACCCTCTCGAAATGCAAATGGATTGGACACCAAACCCGCCCCCCTCTGCATCATTCTGGAGGGGGAAAAACAGAAAGAGAGGGAAAATGAGACGGACAGACGAATGGAACAGACAGACATACGTACCAAACACAGCAGAGAGATAGAGATGCATACAAATGTACAGCGAGTCAACGGCAGGCAGTGAGAGATGATTGAAGGAGGAGGGGGGAGAAAAGCGCCTGGTAAATGGGTCAGGCCTGTCTGCCATCCCAGGCACATACTCACAGAGTGCAGCCCCCAGAGAGAGACCCAGACTGTACAACATGCTGCTGAGAGGAGAGACGAGAGGAATATGTGATGAAGTAGAAGGGAAGGGGATGGAAAGACGGTGGGGACAGATGAATGTCCAATGAAACTCCATTCACCTTCACTCATGCTTCAGAGATAGCATGGTATGGCTAGATATGACTACAGCTAATGAGAAAATGTGCTTGTGTGTTTTTGTGTATTTAAGTTTAAAGACATGCATATATTTAACTATTAGGCCTATTTAAAGCACCTTGGCCACAACTTTGCAAAAAACACTGTTAAGATGGTTAAAGAAAACATTAAAGTGGCCATCATTCAGAGTAATTTAAGAAAAAAAAGAAGAGGTATTGCTGTAGTTTCAAGCTTTCAGGTTTTACTTTAATACCATTATCAGGAGCAGGTAAAGGAGTCAGGAAACAAACAATAATATGAGGTTGACATTCTATCTTACAATCATTGTAGGTCTATGACATCATCAGCACACATTTTCACATATGCCTCCTCTTATATCTGTTCACACCTGTTGTATCATAATAATCATGGAACATTCCTGCAGTGTCTCGACTCCAGTCAGGTATTTTGTCTTTATCTTTATGTTTGATATTAGTCTATGCATAGCTGCAGGAAGTGGTGGTGCTGCGGATGCTACAGCACCCCCGCCCCCAGGTGCAGCCCTCTCCACCCCCAGATGGCTGAGATAGGCTATATTTATATTGTTGCATATTTTCTTCCCTGTGGTTTTACATCCCATCTTTCTTGGCCCCAGTCACCTATCTTATCTTTATTTATTTAGTGTGAGCAGCATGAGCTAAACATAAATATCCTACAGTATTATAATACAGGGTCCCCTAATCTGTTGTGGCAGGACTTTGTCAGCTTTTCCAGCATGAACTGAATACTCAAGTTGAAATGCAATTTTAAACCAATGGCAGCACTTTAGAAATGTTGATGTCATGATTCCTAAAGTACCTTTCTTAATTATACTGTATTCATATTTTGTGGCAGACATGAGGTCATATTGTGCTGTCAGTATGTTTTACCATGTTGTATGGACCCCATGCTGCACTGTTCTGCTGTTCATTTTTGCCTTTAGCTGTGTGATTTATTTGTGGGGAAGGCTATGTGTATGTGCTACAATATTCCCATGAGTGACTTACAGTGAGTATCCATCTGAACTTTTTGTTGTACGAGTGCTTCTGAGTGACAAGTCTTACAGGAGGAAGGGTAGTTGGGTCTGACCTGTGATAGCATCCTGCGATAGACTCTGACCCTCAATGTTGAATGCTGACTCCAGCTTGCTGCTGTGCAGGCCGCACCAGTCATTTTTTATGGTACGCTGCTGCCTGATGAAAGCACACGGTGAGTTTGTTGCTGGACTGGAACTGCATCAAAGACAAAGAGAGAAGAAAGGAGAACGAGCCAGGCTGTCACTGAAGTGAGAACTGCTCC